GCATACTTTCTAACTATGCTTGTATTCCTTGATATTAAGGGCGTGTTCGACCCTAATCGCGAGGTCCTGTGACAATGTCTGTCATTAAAAGGCTTACCCGAGAAGTGCAATAGCGTTGCATAAACTTTCTTCTCAAAAACTACTGATCGAGTAAGAGTTTATAGGGAACTGCCGTCGGAATCGGTTATTTGAAGTGTTATTCGTTTGGGTTTTCCTCTTTCCTCATTTCCACCTAATTTTGCCACGTACATGATTTTAGGGACATTGCCATCGTCTGACTTTCCAGGTACCTATTTTCTACCAGGAGATACTCTGGTTGACTTAGAATATTTAAATGACACAATTCTGTTTGGTGAAGACCTTGACGAAATACAGTCTTTTGACCACCTTAGGCAACAATGTATACATGTTTGGGATATGATTCTCTCCATCTAAATGCAAAATTTTGCTCCAGGACTGGTCTGCGTCAAAACCTGAACTAATGGTAGGAAATGCGTTAGTTTGGTGTACCAATCACTTCACTTATCTTAAAAGTCTCAGCTCTGATGCGTTAGTGTTTAATGAGACCTCGGTACGAGTTCGAAAAGCCCGGTCGGCTTTCACCAACTTGAGTCACTTGTGGCGTAGGTGAGATGCTTTTTGGCCAACTAACGGACGCGTTTATTTTGGAGCAGTTAACCTTGTTATATAGTAGTTGTGAAAAGGCCTTTAAAAGTAGAGGATATGTGCAGGTTACTAGTATTCGATCATAGATATCTTCAAAGCGTCGCTCTTGTATTTGAGGACCATTAGGTTAGTAATTGTGAGGTTAGGCTCAGAGTACTAAGTAAGTATGAAAAATTGACCGACTGGGTACTGAACGTTGGTCGATTAAAATGGTTAGGACATGTATTACGTAAACCCATCCACCGAATACCTCGACGCACATTGATGGCTGGCATGGGAGTAGGTTGAAAGAAAGCTGGTAGCGGTCAAGTCAAAGCTTGGCAGTCGGACTGAGCCATATAAGTAGTTTCAGACTAACTAGTTTACATTTCAATTTTCTAAAATCCTGGTAACCTTTTGTTGTTTCACTAATTTGTATGTATGTATGCCTAATCCTTTCTATAACTATTAATCCTGTTACTACTTCTAATACTTTGAGATTTCCCCTCATAATTTCATCTCGCTGTGCCAATGGTGTATAGCAACTTAAACCGATGCACATGCTTATTTGGTTCTATGTTGAGATTGACAAGCTTTGAACCATACGTTTTGCGTATTTGAGGACCATTGATCAATATCCGGCTGCACAAACTTAGGTAGATAAAGTTGACAATAATACTTCTTAATAGTAATCATTTTTCCAACCGTTGCTGCTAACTAGACGTGGTGATCGGGCTTGCCTATCGTAATTAACCAGTCGCACTATACTGGCTGGAACAATCGTCCCTCAATGTCCTAACATGCCAGACAAGTCGGTTGAAGACTAAAAGCAGCAACCCAAGGTCATAAGGCGAAGTCGTACTGCTGACTGTACAGAGGTGTGACGGCAGTAAGGTGTTTCTTTCACACAATCAGCATAACAGTGATGGTGCCTTCCCACAAGGAAATGTGGGGTTAAAAAATTCGACCCTAAAAATGCACACCTCACCTTATCTCCGGTGGTGAGGTTCCGACAAGTACCGAGCTAACATGAAAATTACTCACTAAAAAGTCGTGTGTGACTGACCTCAATCGGTTGTCCCTTGGGCACGGCAGTCACGCTCTCAGGTCACTAAGACCACTTCTAACCCGATTTCCTTCCCAGATAACTGTAGAAGAACCCTTCCACGGTGTGGGCGACTGGTAAGTGACAACCACCCTCATACCATTAACAGCACTCAAGATCACTGTATTCGTAATCACTCTCCCTCTTCGATTCCAATTATTCCTTCTACCTCAACTTTCAATTCCAAACTTCCTCTTTTGACTTCCTCCTCAAATGTCACCATAGTCAATAATCATAGTGCACAAAATACTGTCCCGGGTCTACTGAAACTTCGCTCCAAACTACACATTGGAGCCTTCAACGTACGTACTTTATGTAAACTCGGCCAGAGGGCCTCTTTCGCTAAGACCTCAGAATCTCGTACCATTGATGTATGCTGTGTCTCCGAAACACGCATACGGGGTCCTTGTTTGGTCATTCACCAGTACGGAGAGCCGACGAGATACACTCTTCGTTTATCCGGCGACTGGACGGTAAGTTCTCGTGGACTGGTGGGTGTAGTTATAGCATTTAGTACGAGGGTAGAACAAGCGTTATTAGAAGGGATTCCTTTTAACAGTCGCCTTTGTGCTGTTCGACTTAAGTGCTCCGTAAGAACTCGGAAGGATAGGGACACACGTCGTTGCTTTTTCGTCATTCCTGCCTACGCTCCCACTGACTACTGTTCAGATGAAGTGAAAAATGAATGTTACAGAAAGCTAAACGATCGGAAATAGTACTCGTGGCAGTAGGTAGCTCAAACCAAACTGAAAGACATTTAGATGGGTATTTTAGTATTCCGGCTCAGCGAACAGATAATGGTGATCGTTTGCTGCAACTGTGCTCAGACAATCGATTATTTTTGACAAACACTAATTTTAAACATAAGGAGAGACATCGTGTGATATGACGAACGCCTGTACCAAACCAAAGATGAACTCAAGTGGAACATATTGCCACCAGTCATCGTTGCAGAGACTCGACAGGAGACTGTCGCTCGTTCTGGAATACCTATTTGGACTCTGATCATGCTCTAATGGGAGCATGCACTTGCTTACTCCTCACTGGACACAGGAAAGTCACATAAAGAAGATTCATTAGAATTAGACTCAGCGATGAGAAAGTCAAAGGTAAATTCCATGAACAGCTGCAGTGAAGGTTAGGCAATTTCGAATATGAGGCTGATTCAAATGTTACTTGGGAGGATCTATGAACAGCTGTGGAAAAAGCGGCGACATCTAATAGTGATTTGAACCGAAGGGTCAGGGAAAACCAATGAATTTCTGCTAAGTCTATTGCACTGATGAATTCTCGCCAACACATCCCAACAGGCTCCGAACACGATGAAAAACGAAAACAAATCAGTTCTAGGTTAACCATGGTTGTTATAGTTCTCCAAGTTTCAACTCCATACAGTTGCTTTTCTTGGGTTACTGCCCGTCTAGATCCCGTATAAATGAAGAGCGTTGAGCATAGGGTTAGTAACTTCATCTTGTAGAAAGCAACAATGCTGAAAATCGCTAGCTAGAATAAACAATTTAAACTCTGTCCTGGGAATTCGTGGATCTTCATTCAAAAGAATTATGACGCCTCATGGTGAAAGCACGATTTTACCTAATATATCGTGTAAAATACTGGCGTCAATAATTATAAGGCGCCTAATAAAGACCCGCGAACTGCAAGCACGAGAAAAACAGGTTGGCTTCAGATTTGGTCGTGGCTGCATCGGCCACATACTCACTATTCGTCAGGTTTTAGAACACAAGCATACTTATCAGTTTTTCTTGACCTAAAAGCAGCATTTGGTTCGGTAGACCGAAAGGTTCTGTGGCAGTGTCTGTCATTGAACGGTGTACCTCAGAAGCACATAAACATTATGAGGACTCTTTACTCTAACACCACCAGTCGAGTCAGAGCATATAGAAAACTGTCATCTGATCTTGCAACCTTAAGTGGTGTCCGGCAAGGCTGTCCACTATCTCCATTTGTGTTTAATTTTATCATAGACCTACTGTTGGAAACAACGTTCTCGCCGTCTGGATTTTCAGGAATTTATTTCCTACAAGAAGGTCCACTCATCGAGTTAGAATACGCAAACGACATAGTCCTGTTTGATGAAGACGCTGATAAATTGCAGTATTTTGGTAGCACTGAGCAACAATTCCAGGATGTTTGGGATGCGTTTCTCCCCTCTAAATGCAAGTTGTTGATTGAAGACTGACCCTTGTCAACACCTGAATTACGGATAGGCAGTGATGAAGTAGTCGAACGCGTCGACAACTTCACTTATTTTGTAAGTCTGATCAACCTTAATGGGTTAGTGTCTGAAGAAATCTCTACACGGATTCATAAAGCTCGTTTGGCTCTTCCAACGTACATCATCTATGGCGAAGGCGAGATATCCATCTATCAATTAAAGGACGAGTATATCGCACGGTAGTTCGTTCTGTCCTAATTTATTTCTGCGAAACGTGGCCATTAAGAGTACAAGATACTCGTAAGCCACTAGTATTTGGACACAGACGTCTTAGAGATATTGCTCACATCTGCTGGGATCACTGGTAAGTAATAGTTAGGTTAGACTCAAGGTATTAGGGGATGATGGTAAATCAGTTGGTTAGATTGTGAATCTCCATCGACTGAGATGGTTGGGCCACGTGTTACATATGACTGAACTCCGACTACCACGACGCGCAATGCTGAATAGTGTTGGGGATGGTTGGAAGAACGTTAGGGGCGGCCAAACCAGAACGTGGCATCAGTGCTTGAAATCACTAACTTCTAGTCTGAGCCATGTTGGTAGATGCAGACTACTTGGTTGGGATCTGCGCGGCTATCGTAACCAATGGTTGGAAACTCTGGGTGACATGGCTCAGAATCGATCACAATGGCGTCGGTGTATACACTCTTTGTCTTCGTTTAAACTATGAGATTAAAATCGCCTCATATCTTTCTTTTTACAAACTAATTCTTTCTTCCTATACTTTATCCTTATATGCAATCTTTCTTTTTATACATTACTACCATTTTCCTCGACCTGTGGATTTCCAAAGAAAAATTAATTATTGATTATCTATAAAATATTGTAAAATATTTTCATTGATTAATTGAATCTGTTTTGTTAAAGAAAATATGAAGTAAAATGTTTAATTTAACTTATCGATGACCCATTGATTATTAATCTCCATTTTACATTGTTTCATCTAACTGTCCTTATTTTGTTGTACGTTTCATTAAACTTTTTGAAAAATAAAAATATTTCACCAATTAGAAAGTAACAAGTAACTTCATCATTTGATGGGCATAAAAATCTTGTCGTTGGCTAAGTAGTCACCGTAAGTTGTTGCATTTTTAATTCAATAAATCATAAAATGTTTGAATTATACATGTTATATAATATACGTGTATTTAGTTTTAGATATTGTTTGTATAAGAGGTTTGTGTTGGTTGTTATCTGTATAGCTTACATCACTGATTCGATCATTGACTAGTTCGCAGATGCGCATTACTAAAGAGTCTCATATAAAATAAAAACACTTCAAAAAATATATATATGTATATCCGTCTGGCTTTTTTTGTCTACATAATATTTCGTAGTTGACACCCTTCACTAATTAAAGTAATCCACTTGACAGTGCACCTTTCAAGTTAGATCAGCTTAAAATATTAACGATGGAAAAGAACTACAGTATTCGGAAGTTTTTTTTTGTTGATAGATCATTTATTTTCCTTAACTACATATGTTACTCATTGTACTATTCATTTCGGCCCATATCTCTGTGACAAATTGATTTGTTTTGACGATATACATCTTTACAATAACGCATTCACATCCTTGTTAAATTTGTGTGTAAATCTATAAATATTTATGTACAACTGTTGTAGAATTTAAACTATTCATTGTTGCCATGTATCATCGAAACAAGAAGTGAAGCTTTAACATATCAAATAGATCTTGAAAAATAAATTTAAAATAATCTAGAACTCTAAGACGATATTATATAATTTCTAAAGATCTCCTAACAGTCATATTAAGTAAATAACTATTAAAAAAAAGCCTCAAAACTTTAATGATCTTCCTTCCCATCATGAGCTTATTAGATCCTTTTTAACAAATTTATCTACTCTATTGATGTCATACTTCATCTCTTCATCATACGTTTTGAGCAAATATTTTAATAATCTGTATATTAGAGATTCTTACTATCCATTCTAATTTATTTATTTATTTGAACACATAAATATTGGTACAAAGGGGCACCGAATACATATGCGCCAAACAAATCACTTGATTCGGGTGTGGGCTGATGCTACCCGGGTGCTCAGACCGAAGCAGGTGGTTTTCTCAGGGGAGCACATCCGGAGCCTTCGATCTAAAGGTCTGATCCACAAGGCAGTGGCGCAACGTTAGGAGATGCAGTCCCATGTCACCCGGTGACCAACAGTTGGTTCACACTTCATTTGTTCCCTCAGGATACTGGAGTCCATGTTCACCATTGGTTTAGAATGAGGGTTTCCCAACTCCCCTAGGTAGACTCTCCGTGTCCACCAACCCGTTTAAAGCGACCATGTTTGTAATTACTTCTAATATCTGACTTGAGTGCTTCAACTGGTATGTTGTCTGATTCTGCTAGTTTCCCACTGATGATTTGTCTGATGGCCATGCTGATTTCTCCGATTGTTGGTGTGGTGACATCTATAGAGAGGTTTGTACGTGTTCCTTCGATGTTGGGTGGGTTCAGTGGGGCTGGTCTATTTAGGAGTTTTTCAAAGTGTTCTGCCTACCTGTTCCGTTGTGCTTGAGCTTCAGTGATTGGTTTGCCTTATTTGTTCTTGACTGTTCACTCTGGTTTACTGTATTTTTCTGCTGGATTCTTCGGTGTGTCATATAGTTTTCTCTTATTTCCTGAGAGCAACATCTCTTTCGAAGCCGGTCTTTCCTGCTCAGCTTGAATCCAATCGGTTTTACTTATTCCAAGCTTTCCTATATTTTTCATTTCCGCAACTACTTGAATGGTCCTCCCAGTCTCCCATATCATGTGGATATTCTATGTGCATATGTTGACTGTTGCCCTAATTTTCGGAAGAAGCATCGGCTTCCTAACTTCTGAATAGCCCCCTTTCAAGATGATCAGGTGTTTTCCCGAACACTTCTTGAGGATGCACTGAAGCCTCATTAAACTGGTACTTTTCGTCTGAGAAGTATTTCTAAAAATGAATAAAAGAAAATACGATAATTTTTAAATTTCCTTGTTATTGCTGTGATTGTGTATATATTGAAAGTCTGTGCGTAAGTGTTTTTTACACTCTCTAAATTTAAATTTAGAATCAATTTTAGTCATATAAAACGAAAGTGCATCATCTCAAGTTGCTACATCACGTTATGAATGATGAAATCATAAGGAAAGAAGAAATAGATATCCCCATCGAAATTTGAAAAAAAGCTGAATATTTATTTTGTATTGAGTTTCATCTGTTCTTAATATTAAATTAAAAATAAGTTCTCAAATAATTCATCTGGTGTTATCAACCATTGTGTAACGTTATTACACATCTTTTATCAGTTGTTACACTCGATTAAGATGTAAGTAGCATGTGTATATTAGGGGGTAGATTATCAAGCCATATGGTGCACAGGATTATTTCGAAATGAATGTTGATACCAATACTTATCAGTTTATGATACATTGGTGGAAATTTTTAGATTGGAAGAAGGTTTTGAAGATGATGAACACTCCATAAAATGAATTTGGGTCATTTGAAGGACATATAGATATCAGAAAAAATGGACCGGCCTAAAATGTACTTATTCTAGGTAAAGATTAGAAGCGACTTCAGATATACTGTTAAAACGACTTACAAAATATCCACTATCCTTCTCTCATGAATTCCATACGTGTGTTTGAAATTTACCTATATGTTAAAGATTCACATTTTTAGCATCTTGTGGTACTTTATAGGGTTCATTAACATTAATAGTTACATGTTTGCGTAAGTTTAGGGGGTTAGATTTTGACAGAACATGTACGCAGTTGATTCGATATTGCGACGACGATATTTTTCGTTTGCAAAATCCCTCCTTATGACCAATCACTTTATATTTTGCTCATTTATGGTTATAGAATAGGCAGAAACGGGAGTAATGCCATGCCTCGCAGTTCAGCAACTAGATTGGGATCTGACTTTATTTTGCTTAAAATTACAATCTGAGTCTGACGATGATTGTAACCCGCATATAAACATGAGTCACTTAAATTGTTCGCCAGAAAGTGAATGAAACTTAAAAATTTCTCATTGCTTATTAAAAAATGTTGCATATGAAATAAAATCATCTTCAGGTCGCTTAATAATTTCAAGACAAATATATCACAAGTTAAAGAAGTTTGAGTAGCAAAAACTCCTGTAGGTTTTTTACTGTAGTATAAAGAGAAAAAGCACAAAGTTGTGAGACAGAACATCAAGTTCCTCTACAGCGGCGATGTAATACACGATAACCTCTCCTCGTGGCTACTTCAGCGAGAAGGTATTTACGTATGTACTCAACTATCCCATAGAATATTAATCAATTTCTTGGCCAATGATATGGATTTGGCATTCAGGTCGTCATCATGTGACCATTTCCTTTGGCTACTTCTGACTGGCTCAACATATCAAACATACCTTTTGAGGAACTTGAAAACAAATGGATTTGTAATGTTCTGTATGCCCTGGTTTATAGATGAATTCCACGCGTAATAAATATTTGATCAACTTCTCTTTGTTAACTTACACTGTCAATCCTTTCAGTGTGTAGTGACAATTGTTCAGAGCCTATTGAGATCACTAATCGATCTAAATTTGACAACTATTGAAAACGTGGGAGCACTGAACAGCCGTTTCACCTCATTGAGAAATTGTGACCAGTGTTCGACCATGTTGGGTGTGAGTAATGTATACGCAAAAGGTAGTGCAAGATGGTCGCGCAATGTCGCTAATAGCTTGAAGTTAGACTTGCACATCATTGAACCACGACTCAGGGGTCTAGGGGTTAAGTATTTTCTTGCTAAAACTAGGGATACGCACTTCCAGAGTTCTATACTAGAACGAAACGCCCATATGGTGCTCCCAAGTTTTCGGTCGTTGTCTAACTTAGGTTCGTGATTAGAATTACAATCCTTCCAGGTGACGCCACTTTCATTGTTTTGTGAAAAAGTAGAAGGGAATTACCTCAGAACCGCTACTGGCTCATATTGTGAGTCATATCTGCTAACGTCTTAACCCACTGTGTTGCACCATCTCTCAGACCCCAACCAGGAGGTTGTGATGGACTGAGAGATGTCAATCCTGTACAGATCTCTTTCATACCTCGGGACCATGCCACATAAACCAACCGCTTCTCCACTTTTTTCAATGGGTCCAAACATCCCAGAAATAGAGCACAGTTTGGTTACTCGTATCAAATGTCCGAGCCATCGTGGTCGATGTTTCAGGATGGTGAAGCCAATTGAAGTCATTTTGCCCGAACATACGTTGCCAAACCTCTGCATTAATAACATGGTGTTGTGATTATACGTAGAATGATCGCACCAGTCACACCACTACTAGCACTCGCACAACTAATCAGATACACGAACTTTCTGATTACTTCTAATTGTTTATCAATAGGACTGAGTGCAGACACAGGCGGCTGTCTATCTTGCAAAAGTACTTGCACTTAGAAGGCGCAAAGCACATGCCATACCTACGAACACTGATTGTCACCTGATTAAGTGCTGATTGGATGGCTTAAATATCTTCGCACAGTAAGACAATATCATCATGGTTGAAGATCGGAAATTCTTTCTCTAGGAAGTAGTTCCACACCATCATTACTTATCTTCACTAGAGATGTTTCCAGAATGTCATCGATAATGAAGTTGAGGATGAATAAAGAGATTGAGCAACCCTCCTTAATGTAACTGCTTGAACAGAAGAAGTGGTCGCATGCTCCCACTCTGGCTGAGGTGTTTGTTCGTATAGCGTTCAACATGTTAATCAACTTCTCATGTACAGCCTTCTTTAACAGACAATTCCAGAGTGCTATTCTGTTTAACGAATCAGTGGAGAGACTGGTATCAAAAAACAAAATGGTTGTTGACCTGTAATCAGCATAGCTGTGCTTTAACATTTGGTAGGGGATGTATGTATAACCAATGAATCCACGACCAGAATATACTCCAGACTACTCCTTGCAAGTCAATGTTTCATGGGTCTTGGACGATCTGTGAACTATAAGGGTAGCTAATAAATAGGATGGAATCGGATTTAAAATTGTTTCCCGACAGTTGTTGTATAGGTGACGTTTGTCCTCTTTAAAGATATGAACGACTCTTTCCTCGTTCCACGATATTTGAACAGTCTATTTACCAAACATTTGTGGACGACTTGATCAGTTCCATAACCAGGAGGTCTCCATCTTTCTTAGAAAGAATTGGAGGGGAATCATTTGGTCTGATGTTTTGTGGAATCTCAGGAGTTGGAGTTCCCCACGGACTTTGGTCTCGCCAGGTGTATCAGTTAACACTGGCCAGAAAGGATAGAACGGTTCGACTGATTTTGTTAGTGCAGGAGATCAGGTGAGTTTTTCGTCGAGGAACTCGGCCCATGTTTTAGGATGTCGTTGCTTGTTATTGATCGGTGTCTCATCAGTTTCACAGATTGTTTTACTCAAAGTAGATTTCTTGTGGGCAGTGACCTGAATGAGTTGAGAGAGCAGCCACCAGTTACTAAATGTGGCTGCTGCTTCCAACTCGTTAGCACGCTCCTACTGTAATGAACGAAAACCCAGGTGGAGAAAACAATACTACACTACCACCAGGTTTCTTGATCCTTACGCAAGCTTTGCATAATTTCTGCAATATTGTGCAAACGTTGGGGCAGGTCAGTTTGAATGGCACACATGATTTCAGAAAGGCTAGTTCAGGATTCGTATTCGGTGGTGTCATTAAACTTTTGACCATTCAGTGACTTGAGATCTTTTAGGTAGGATGGAATTTCCACCATAGATAAGCCTCTGTATGAGTTGAAGAACAATAACTTACACAAAATGTAAATAGAAAAGAATAGACAGGTGACGCAATGTAAAATCCAGATGAATGTCACCGAATAATTGTTTATGGAATTTGTGGGGATGAGAATGAAGCGAAAATAAATTCCGGTTGTAGTTGTCTTTTGATTTGTGTGAGGGCTAGGATACTGCATGGGTGCCCAGCAGATTGTTCTCTCAGAGGGCTACTCCACAAACCTCTGATCTAGAGGTCTAGTCCAGAAGGCAGTGGAGCAACGTTAGGAAGTGCGGTCCCATGGAAGCTGATAGCCAAGAATATGTCCATAAGGCATCTGTTGCCTCAGAATCCTGGAGTCCATGTGGGCCATTGGTTTGGAATCAATGTTTCCAACTCCCTTCGTACCCACCAGCCCGGTTCAAGCTCTGGAAATTCGCGTTTCATCCTCTTAATTTGGTAAATAAAACCCCGTTATTTCTCTGTCGGTGGCTATATATACGTGGCCATATGAGATCATTTCGAGAAGGGGAGCAGACTCCCCCCACTTTCGGCTGTATTATGGTAATTGGGGGATTTCCGTTCATTGATATCTAAGGAACTTCAGTAAGTCGTAACATCGTATTACTTAATAGTATGCCTTTTCGTTTTCAGTCGTATTTCGATTGTATTCAATTCGTTGATGAATACCACCTACCACTAATTTCTATCATTGATATAGTCATTGTTTTATGTAATTTTAATTCACATTGCTTTACAGTCATTAGTCAGCATCCTTTTGTATGTCTTCTTATTAGCGGTTAGATTTTTCTTCGTATTGTTTATACGTATATGTGAATGACTAGTTAATAAATAATTATGTTGACACCATCCGAGCATGTGAAAATTGTGTTATTTCGTAAGCGAAAATTCCAGCTTTATGTAAGCGTGCATGATTAAACTGATATTATTGTAGTTAAATATCCAATCTATTCACCTAATCATTGTAGTTGTCTTATTCTTTTCTGCTCAATACCATCCCCAGTGTTATCAAAGAAAATCCTCACGTACACAGCTAGGATGATTTTTACGTATTATTAATTAATTCACCTCTATCGTTTGTATCATTCACAACTACCAACATTGCTTCTTTATTTCAGGCTTTGATATTAACTTTTATAAAATGAGCGGTAGTGGGACTGGAGGTGGTGGCAGTAGTGGTGGAGGTTCTGGTCGTGCACACTTTCGTAGTCAGTTAGGCTGTTGTATATGTGGAACAAAGTCATCATCCTCTCGTTTTACCTCTAGTCAACGATATGCTGAGCATTTTGGTGCATGTTTTGGTCCACAGGGGACTACACGTTCAGGAGATTTATGCAATGCATGCGTTCTTTGTGTTAAACGTTGGCTTCAACGGGGTAGACAACCGAACTTCTTTGTACAGGTTAGTATATTGCTTATTTTTCTGTAGAATGTTACTCGCATATGTCATCTATTTCTTCCAATTTTAGAAGTAGTATGTTCTTCATTTGTTGTATTGTTAGATGTAAATTTAACTCACTTATTGTCACCTATTTTTAGGTTTAATTGTGTTTAGTTCACATCTCCTTTACTTATTTCAATAAAATCATATATAATAATGTTGACAATAACGATTTCTCCTATAATTGTTAAGTCTATTCTTCCTGTAGCATTATATTTTTGGTTTTTTTGTTTTAATATGATATTTCAGTCAATCTCTTTTGTAATTACTCTCTGTTAGTAATAATTCTTTTGTCCATAGTTTTTACAGTTTATTTCTTAATCAGACTTTAAACTTCAATAAATTTTCCAGTGGTTCCTGAGATAAATCTCGCGAATGTTCAGTTTCCTGCATATCCATTTGTGCAGTATCGTATTATGGTTGAGAATGTTAGATCACATCACCAACCCTTTCAGCTTATTTTATGAGGATAAGGATAGATAAATTGTAGCTGGCAATAGAAATTAGGACAAGCATTTTATCTTATCTGGGACACGCCAACTAAATGTACCTGCATCTAAGTATTGATGCTCACAATGAGGTTCGAACACAATACCTTCCCTTTAAAACTGTTTGAGTTCAGATAGGCACTCCTATATGAACTGGATATGGTATTTATATTATTATTATTATTATTTTTATTATTATTTTTATTATTATTATTATTATTATCATTAGAAATTTATGGTGATTTTTGTCTATATTTAGACGTATACTTTCACAGTAGTTCGGCACTGAATTAATATAAAACCGAGTGACTTCTATTGTTATTGCTTATGCTTATAAATAAAAAGCATACAAACTCAGGTCGATATAGGTTTAATAATAAATTAGCATAAAAATCTGATCGTGTATTAATAAAAAGATCTTTTAAACCTGTCTCTCCGTAGGTGATAGAGTACTAGCTGTTCATGAGTTAAAATATTTCATGTAAATGTATCTGTGTATGCATATAATGCTTTACTTTTCTTTCTATACATTTCTATATGGATAATTTTTATTATATTTCTAATATGGTTAAGTGTTTACTTGCTTTTTAAAAAATCTTGAATTAAAGGTAACAAAATTATTTATACATTACAAAATAAAATATACATTTGCATTACTAGTTTTCTTTGGAAATCCCTGGTTAGTTTAATTTTAATCACAATGTAATCACCTGTAAGACCATTGGAACAGACAATAAATTATCATTTGATTCACTTTTGTATTTTATTTTGCCTTGTAGGACTAGAACTCATATTCATTGTATAAAAATATATCATATATTGACAATTATGATACTTTAAATAAGTAACCATGTAGTTTAGATTATAATTTCTTATTATTAATGCATTATCAGCTGAATCCACTTACATTTCAGTATTCTTGTTCTCGTTGGGATGTCAGTTCGAATATAGTTGTCATAAAAGATTCGGGAAGAGAATTATTTTTTTTTACTCGATAGTAGCAATAATGGATGCTTATCGATAGGTTTTAGTTGGTATTTATTCACACTTATACTGTTTTTTATTAGATAAAAATGTTCTTTAACAGTCCTTTCTGTTGTAATTAGTAAGTACCATGACGTAATTTTATTACTTTTTCAGGTTCTTGACAGTAAGAAAGGTCCTGGACCGAAACATATGAAAGAAATTACTAAACGAGCTCGTCGTCGGGAAGCCAAACAACAAGCGGCTGCTGCTATCGCTTCATCTGTAAGTAAAGAACAGAAATCTGTAAAATCTGCTTCGATTACTACCACTACCCATACTCCTACTACACGTTCGTCTTGTGGAAACGGTCATCATTGTTTGAATAGCAGTTCCGGCTCACGTGGCAATCTTCATTACACACAAACAAATCCGAAACTGGAGCATTATTCGCATACATCACCTAGTTGTATTCGTGTTCAGTCTAATATGTTTTCCCAGCAATCTTATATGGGAGGTACGACACGATCAAGTGCACAACACTTTCAGGCATTATCAAATGGATTAAGGTGTTCTTCGCATAACAATGGCAACAATAGTCGTAATAGTAATTCCCACTGTTATAATCGATCATTAAATCATAATAATAATAAAAATGACACTTTAGAACACATATGCTGTTCTTGTACAATTTTGGATCAGAAAGAATATTTATCGACATTATCTCATCCACAAGGTGCTACACGAACTCGTGCAGCTGCTGCTAGGCAATTAGAAGCAGCCAGTAAGTTTATTTTTATTTTTTGTACGTAATGCGTTTTTACTGCATTAAGCATTTAAAACGTTTTCTTGATACAAATGTTATATAATCGTCATCTGTGGTGGGAGGTGATCTTCAGTAACAATCTAAAAGTATTCCGCTGAAGGTGTATTTATTTTTATCGTCAGTTTCATTCTTTTTTTCGAATGATATATATTCCACTTTTGTATATTGTAACTCTTGTCTTAATACACTGATCTTGAAATATGGTGATCTCAGTTGATGTAATTCTATGCCAGATTTTACATTGTTTATGAGTGATCCTTAAAATACCTAATTCTTTCTATGCTTGGGTTGGAAATCGTCAGTTTTAGATAAAGTCATATTACTTTATTGGAGTAACTCAATTTTATGAACAATAAGAAGATAAAAATCTGAGTCAGTAGCTATGTACTAGTGTAAACGATCCTACTGCTCCACTGTTGATACAAGTAAGAAGTAAATGTTTCAACTGAACAATTTTTAAAACTAGTTAAGAATTAAAACAACTTCTTTACGTATGCTTAAATAAATTTTTGTTATTATATTACTAGGATTATAGCTGTCAACAATCGATTCTCATCACATCTTCTTTTAAAGCTACATTACTTGCGGAGAAGTGTAAAGATTTTATATTGTTTTAATGGGTTAGAATAATTTCTTCTGTTTAAAAGATTTTTCACCATGAATTGACATCATTTGAAGAAGCAATAAGAAAAGACTATCAAGCTGAACTACTTTTTGAAAATTTTGATCAATGGATATTAAACCATTTATCAAATAAGTTGAAATTCTGTATTTAGGTTTCGTGTCTGTATTGGCACTTGTCTTAAAAGCTTATCTGCAATTTTGAGGGGATTCAAACAGGCGTCCTGCAATAAAAGTTAAATATTTACACTGATTACTCCCAGAATAGTGACTGATATCATACTCAAAATAGCTAATGCGTCGAAGAAAATTGGAATCCAACGAGTAGTGTAAGTTTCCTCAAGATTACAGGCCAGCCTTGCTGCTAAATGCCGACTATCATGGAACCTAGGTCCGATTGTTTGCAATCACTTAACTTCAAAGTATAGTGAATTTAATTTTTAGTCACTTACACCAGTAATCATGTCTTAGTTTGATTGATTGATTTCGACCAACACAAAGGACTGAAAAGGTATGGCATATTACTACTAATCAGTTCAGATTCAGTATAAATTTTGTATTCACTGGAATATAGTGTAGTGGTGCTCCAGCCATGAGGATGGTCAAGCCTCATTGAGGGAAGCCTACTGTCTTCGTTGGCAAGAAAACTTTCATTTTTGAGGTACACAAGCCTACTACGTGGACTTTTTGTGGGGAAGTAGTTAGAAACCCCCTGGGTCTTGATGCGCAGGCGTCGTCTGAAGCTAGTATATATTACATGCATACTAATAATACATAGGTTTTCACCTATGTATCCCATGGCATACAGATAGGCAAAGTTGTCCATTTGGGAGGATTGACTTCACCATTCTGTTAACTCGTATTTGCTACGTCTTATACGTTATAAGCACACCAGAGGTATATAAGCTTGCGCTCATGAGCATCGTAGCATACACAGGCATGAGCTCTCTTAATGAAGTGCTGGTGGTCACCGCTTCTCTCACTCGTATTTGATACAACTTAATCAGAATACTGACTTCTATTACCCCATCTCTGTGCTAAACCAATGATTCGTCAAATCAGGGCGAAAACATATTGATACACCACACTTCCCTGAAATCCTGATTAGAAATCCTGACTAATGAATCTCACTTATATAGTGTGTAAAACTGTTACCCACTGATAGCAACCAGAAATGTAGCGCTATATCATAAATTGATTGAATTAAGAAATTTGAATCATTAGATACAATTCATTGGTTTAAAGCCTCGTTTCAAAATTTCAAGGTTTAAGGTTCAATCTGTTTTGACGATGTAAACGGACAACACTGTTGATCAGACCTAACCATAGACAAGCTTCCTTTTAGGATGATTATGCTAGTATATTAAAAGAGTTAATCATGTTATGTAATATTGATTTAATGTATGTCAAACATGTTTTTTTTCAGTAAACATTTTATACATGTTCCTTTTTTCTTTTTAAATTTTGACTAAGTAATAAAATAATGTTGTTTTATACATTTTTAGAGGTAAAAATAATAGTTGTACTGTTTTATTTCCCATGGTAATATTTGTAATCTGATCTAATTTTTATTGGGTTAACCATTTTTATTAATGAATAATTTAATGAGGCCATAATTTCAATTGTGTATTCTGACAATATTTTTTTAATTAAGATTAATAATATTGTTTTTCTATTTCTTACATCTTTTCAATATAATAATATCGATTATTTCAATAAATGATAAGGAACTTGATCATTCTTAAGATATCTATACCATTCAGTTAGTCAAGTTTTATCTGCTAGTCTCTTTGACGCGTTAAGCTATTAAATGTAGGAGTTGGATGGAGATCAAGTTCGTTTGCATTTGGATATGATATCAGTCAACGAGATAATAGACTGTTGAAGTGAGCTGCTTTGGAAGAAGTAATCTTCTCGATTGAAGTCAAGAAGCTAGTCCGAATTTGTTTCAATTCAAATGGTGTAAATAGGTCATAGTATGCTATGTGCTACTTACACAGACAGGTATAAGTAGTATGTATCAGGCATGTGAATTAGAATTCTTACTGACATTAGAGGAAAATAAAGAGAAGATGAGAGAAAACTGAAGCCAATCAAAATAAAAACACAAATGAAAGAACACTGAAGTCTGTAAAATACAATTCGAAGATGTGCAAATGATATATTTAGTGTATAATTTTCATATTTTATTAAGCCACTGTGATTTGCCATTAAACAATAAATAGATTATCCCCACCAACTCTTCGTTCACTATAATAACAATGCAAATTTTTTCATGCTTCATTCTCTTTAAAATCTTAATTGTTAATATTGCTTCATACAGTTTACTCATCGATTCTGTTCATCAGTTGGTAATCATATTCCCCATGTTTAGCTTTCTTCTATCAGTTCAGTATTGTTTTGATTTCTTCGATTTTTGACCTTAGAGTACGGCAATTCGAGGTGATGTAGATGTGTACCAAGCCTTTCATTGTTGACAGTTGTGCCATTATAAACTCATTTGCACTTTACTGAAATGTATTACTGATAACTTAGTATTGACAATATAATCATCCTTTTGCAAACTTTCTATATTTGAACTGAAGTGGATTAGTTTAGCTTGAAAATAAGTAATAACTGTTATGTAATTAGTTATATTATTATTATTATTAATGAATATTTACTTTTAGTTAAAATCATTGATGAAGAAAGACGAGAGAACTGTTACTCAATAAATATCTGTCGGTTGATAGATACGTAACCATATTACTTGGAAAAAACAAACAAACAATATATATGGTCAATCGCTATTTCACTTTATTTCATTTAACCAACTTTTTACAACTCATTTGTTTCTATTCATGATCAATGTAACACATCGGTATATTCTTTATTGCATACGTATATACAAAACGATTTATTAGCCGTGTTTAGATCTTTTTTTTGAAAATAAATTTAATTTATATATTTTAATTGTAATATAGAAGGTTTTTTGTTTGACAAACGAAACATTTGTACTGTTTACGTTCTTTAGCTCATTGAATACTCAACTGACATGTAGATTTTATTTAAAGGATGGTTGTTTGATAGTATAGGTTGTTATTTTCTTTGTCGAATCAAGAGTTGATTAAAATAACTTTATATTATACTTGAATCAATTAAACTATTAGCTACAGGTTTGTGCATTTATTTTATTGTTATATGGACTATTAAGTACACTAACTGATAGTCTTTAAAAAGGCAGCATTCTAACAACACTATCAGGTAAGATTAAAACATAGATAGGTACTGATTGTCTACAAATGCTCATCATACATAGAATATGAGACTGACCTGAGTTGAGTCAACTGAAATGTCTGTTCAACTGATCCCTGCTTTTGTGGTGTAACAGCTTGACCTGGTACATATTGGTCCCACATTTTATTTTGACTTTAATTAACCCATCTACTTTTTATGATAAAAGGATGGTCAAAAAATCTTCATTTTCTATATCACTTATTCGCTGTCCATATTTTCTAATTATACTACTAAATATATCAGGGAACTTCTATCCTAGTAGACTAATTATGTTTAATAGTAATATTTTCCGTTAAATTGTAATAGATATTTTTCACAGCAACAATCAGTCTTTTAGCTTCTATGAAAATTAATCTTATCAGTGTAGCATTTGTTAAATAATTACATTAATAAGAAGTTATGTGTTTCTCATGTTTATGTTAGCACGATCAATAATATACATTAGACTAAAGTTTTAATGAACTTAGGAAGCCCATTCATTTGAGTTTGAGATTCTTTAACAATCCGCATTAATGGTCACACACTTAATCTATCTCATGATAACGATATTATTAGATTACTACCTAATGGCCTTCATTTTCAACTTCATTCACTTAACTGCATAACTCAGTCTTCAAATATAATTGATTAGTTACTGTCTCACTCCACAGTTCATCGTCTCTTTGTAGAAAAACTCACCAATACGCTCATGGTTATGACAAGCATTGCTTTTTTTAGTGGTTTCTTTGATAGGCCAGCAACACAACAACAGGACAAACTAAACTCTTCCACTGCGCCTCACCCTTGCTAACTAGAGGGAGAAAACCAGATTCAGTCGATGAAAAAGTATATTCTACAAGCAGTCCGAAACCATGAACGGACAAGCACACAACTCATGAATATATATACAGTACAAAAATGTCCTTGGGAAACGTCACGAAAAGTGTACTGAAAGAGATAATGAACCAATGACATTTAGGATCCTCCTAGGTGGGAAATACAAACTGAAGGTAAAAGTGGTCGCTTCTGGAGCGAAAATGAGAAATTCGAATTTTCAAAAATGAGACGTTTACCAAGTGTTTCTTGAGGATCCAACATCTATAGCACTACCGAAAACCAGTACACTCGGATCTCTATATCAAATTCAATTCGGCATATCCATTCAGTACAGAAATCTTTCTAAATGAGCAAGCAAGATTATTACATCTGGAGAGGATAAACAAAAATATTTAATTGAGATCTTACAACTTAATAATTTTCTTATGAAATTTACAAAAAAATCCGATAAAACTTTTAGATAATAGTTCGAATGAAATAGCATGAATTGGTACTGCAGTTTTACCATACTGTATTGATACATCAAACAAATCTAAAGAGTCTTAAAACAACCAGCACCCTTCAAAATGCCTTAGTTCATATAAAGGATATTAACCCCTTTATGTCAGCACAGAATTGCGTCTACATGGAAGGGCGTGAAGTTGTAGTTTTCCATATATCGCTAAATCCCACTACCCTCTATATAAAAGAAAGCCTTATTATCCATCTGAGTTAGTCTATCTATCTGAGATACTATGTCTGGTTCTACTCATATCTCACACTATTATCATGTGTACATATTCAACTCGATCCTTTCACATTAAAAATGTCAATTTTCATCCATCAAAACACACACAAATGTATCGCACACAAATCACATTGACTCGGTCAGACCAGTTTTTTGACTGTTCGCACTAAATATTTTTTGCATTGTTCCTTTGTGCTATTTAAACTTGGGCCAATGTAATTTGTTTATTTTTTCTCTGAAGAAGTGGTCTACAGTGAATCACGAAACATCAGGAAATCTCATTTTTCTATACATTGGAATATTAAAAATGTATTATTTTTATTAATTGCATCAATACTGTTTATTTTCTTTGTCTACTCGTGTGTGTTTATGTTTCATCATTTCATAGGTGCTGCTGCCGCTTTTGCTCAAAATACTACGGGTGTCCTATCTACTTCATTACCATCGTGTAATAGTCATCATCGTCATAGTAGTAGTAACTTAGTGCTTCGTTCAGAAAACATAAAAATGACTACATCATCAGATTCCAGTGAAAGTGATCCTAATAATAGTTATGATATTAACCAACAAAAATGTTGTTCCGAAACTGCAACATCGGCTTCAAGTTGTTCTAGTTGTTGCGCCTGTGGTGGAGGTAGCCTAAGTTGCTGCAGTGGAAGCACAAGCGGGTTCGGGTCGAATTCTTCAGACCTGTCACTTACGAGTAGTGTTAATTATCCCGGAATGAAATGTAAGTTATGCTTCGATATATGTATTTATGTATGAGCGACAATGCCAAGATGTTTTGGATGTGTTTGTCCCCCTCTAAATGCAAATTGTTGCTTCAGGACTGGCCTGCGTCAATACTTGAACTACGGATAGGGGAGAGAAGTAGTCGAGCGCGTGGAGAACTTCACTCATCTTGAGAGTGTGATCAGTCCTAGTGGGTTTGTGTTTGACGAAATCTCTACACAGATTCAAGAGCTCGTTTGACCTTTGCCAACTTTGTAGCTGACTGAATGTTCGAAATAGACATATGAGATAACATGGTTAGGGTAATACGTATAACAATTTGTTGCTAAATTCGAAGAATTACAGTATTTGTCAGAAGTAGACTTCATTAGACGTTTAGAAAACTACCTTTTTGATTCTTGATTGAGATCATGAATCGATTGATGTTAGACCATGATTGAAAACCTGGAAGCACTAGACGGCCGTTTTTTCCTACTGTAAGACTCCTCAACAGTGCGATCCATGATCCCGCGTGGGAAGAGGAACAATTGGCGATTCAAATTTATTTCACACTATTAATAACGTTATTCCCCCTTTCAACACTCTTCTTTATTATTAATGCACTTTTATTAATGTGTGTTGATGATTATTGTACGGTGATTGTAATTCCTGATCCCCTCTCCAAAGTAGCATAAAGTGGTTTTATTGAATTTTACTTTGATGAAAAAATTCCGTCAGATGGTTCTATCATCATTTATTATAAAATTTTAACTTCTGAAAAAAATAGACATCAATTCTATTCAACTGCTCTGTTATACTTGTGTCTGTGAATAGTTATTGAAATAAAAAAATTTATTTAATTTTTTGCTCGATCACATAGAAATGGCAATGAATTTGTTAGTTATCATGACAACAGAAAGACCATACTTATTATTAAAAGTAAATTGAGTATAACTAATAATAAGGGATTATTGAACATGAAAGCTAATAGAATGTTTAATCCACAAGTAGTAAACTGATATTTATTTTAGTATTCCAATAAGTTATTTTAATATATAGTTTGACCTTATAATAATCGTCATATATGCGTGCAATTATATAAATAAATTGTCGTGATATAAAACAATGAATAAGGTATATATTAATCACTCTAAACGTCAAGGTTCGGTTAATAAATAAGCGTTTATAGTTGTGTGTTTTCTTTTTCTACATTAATAATAATAATTTCAGAGGAAGAAGCAAATAATATTTATGCTTGGCTGATTTTGCAGACAATAATTCTTAATATGAAAGAAGAATTATTTTATTTCGCTTTAAAAACGGTATCGATAATAAACGCAATATTTTATTCTTAAACACAATAGTGTACAGTCAAACGAGTAGTTGTTGTGTAACTGTTCAAATTCATCGAAATTAGAAATTGTTCCCAAGTATATACACCTAGTTGAACAGTATATAATTATGATAAGATAATTTCTCTATGTATACAATAATATCAATCAGTTATTGTGGTTGGGAATTGCACGGTAATTGTTACTTTTTTTTACGTAATGTCAATAGCAAATATTTTGTAAATATGCAAATATGTAAATACGCAAATATGATTAATATTTGAAATATAAAGAATTGAAGTTGGCAAAATCATTATTATTAACTGTACACCATCTAGTTGATCTTAAAGTAACTTATCCAACATATTAGTAACATATAGTATACTTCACGTCTGGATTTATTGGTTAGGTATATTAGAGGGATACTAATGAATCCTATGTACCTAGTTGTAATATTAAACCCGAAACAGCTAAATATTACAATAATAACCATTTTACAGGCTTATTTCTGACATAATTAATTTCTTGGTCAATCACACTCCTTAATGCGAATAAGGTCATTTGTATCTATATCAACGTTGAATTTTTATATAATAAATAAAGTCTTATATATATATATATATATATTATATAAAAATTCAACGTTGATATATATATATATATATATACTTTTTATTTGTTACATAGTCTTGCTTCTTGTGTTTTAGGATTTATCAATGTTTCCCTTATACTGATTGGTTAAGTTACGGTTTTATGATTAATTTTTCCACCTTCTTTTTGTTCAAGAGTGAAAAGCTTCTGGAGATTAGGAAGAGGGTAGGAAGTCTGTGTGTTCGTGTTCAAGTAGAAGACTTACTAAGTAGCATTAAGAGTGGTATCTCCTCTTCATTTCTTACTAGTTTTAGCTTTTACGTTAATACTTCAAAATGTTTCACTCGATCAACTCAAAATGGATTAAAGTAATCAAACTTTATCAATTTATCTAACTATTCATTTCATTCGGTTTTCTGCAACCTTTCATTTGTTTTTTCTTGTCTTTTATATCCATAACACATGCTTGAATGTGCATACAAATCCACATATGTTTAGCTAATACACACCACAATAAAAAACAACACAATTATTCAAACTGTACATGTCATGATAATAAAACTGTTGAAATAAGTAATTTTTCAATAGATTACAATTGTTCCACTCAACGATCCTACTGTCATCACCAATCTCGACGTGCTAATGAATTTAGATATCCTCAATTACCACAAACTGGCCAAATCAATATAAATAGTAATGGCACATGCGGTAACAATAATAGTAACGAAGATGAAAAGGGTGCATCTATATTTATAAATGGTAATGCTGGAAATTTTCAGAACTCTAATGATACTCAACAAACATCTTATGTTGCATCGGGACGAAATAATTCGATTACAAATACCAATGTAGCCACAACATCATTAACAACAACAACAACAACTATTCCTACCCGACGTTATAACCGTAGAGTTGTCCTACCTCCAGTAAGAATGACCCATAACCCCGAAGTGGATTCTTTATTACGTGAAATCATGGAAAGGTAATTTTGCACGATAATAATAATAATAATTTAAAGATGCAGTTTAATAACTCAAACTTTTTTCACCATCATCTTGTGGTCACAAATATTTTTTAGAGATGTAACGTCAGAATATTCCATCTACGGTGTGCTTAGATGGAATTACTCATAGGAGGATGTTACAATAGTATTGCTATCATGTGCACTGAATGCACATTGAATTGATTATTTTTAACGTTTTTACGTTGAGAAGTCTGTATTAAAGATATTGAGTTATTAGATTAGTGTAGAAATGTTGGATAAACTTTGTTTTCCCCACTTCATTTTTTTCATAATTCAGTCTAACCCCGTTATTATTCAAAGAATTGTATATTCACCTCAGAAGCATATACTGTAGATGAAACTGTACAGATCTATTGTTCATTTACCGAAAGCTAATTAGATAGGATGGTCGTAAACTCTGCAAGTAAATATTTCAGTCTTGTACTTTAACTGCAAAATCACTTCTCGTATTCTTTGTAGTATGAATCGTACATAACTCAGACATTTATGAGCTTTTTTAGTTCATTTTCTAATCCATAAATCATTGTTTTCAATTATTTGCCTTATCATATGGAATTCACAGGGTAACATCAACTGCTATTTCGTCTATCGATTGGGGTCCTAAGCTTCGACTAGTTATGCGCGTCAACTGCCAAGATTAACTTTAAGGTATGACCCTAATATTCTTGACGCCTATTGATCCGCCGAAAAACTCATTCCTCTGTCCCCCAGTCTTAAGTCTAAATAGGAGAACACGGCACGAAGGCTTTTATTATCTGTATTTCAAGTACCCGGTCTTTTTATCTCAAGCACTCATAAGTTTATATGCATACTCTTTTTTATGTGTTTGAGGTACATTGACTGAGTGAGAGCCTGTTCAAACCTCTTGGCATCTCATTTACCAACTGTGCAAACATTACGATGATTTCTTCTTACAATCGTTGTATTTTAACTAACTAGTTACGTATGTTGGTCATAAGATGTACTCATACGCTTTCGTAGAAAGGTTACAGGCCGTCACAAAGCGAACTTCGTTCTGAACTCTTGTAGTAGTTGATAAATCATACTAGAATTAATACATTAGGTATATATTTGGTGAAAATTTCTATATACCAGGGTTTGTTTCGGCACGGCTTTTTTTTTCTGGAAATTCTTAACACATTGAACTAGTAGTAATTATTGTCGTATTTGTCTAGTCCACAGTTTTGATCTAATTTTATCGAATATGTCCACAAATCTTAGTGCCTTGATATGGTATTATTTGTTTGAATCACTTAATTTGGTTATCATTCAGTGATTGACTAGTGTAAATTTCTACTACACCATGCAAATCAGACATAAACCAAGTGATAAGTTGGAGTTACTTACTGACCCACCCTATTGTCCAGGATTTAGCTTCACTTTCTAGGGCATATTCCATTGGTATGGCTTTATTTTTTGAAGGAGAAAGATATATCTTTATCCATCGGTTGTACTTTTATTCTTGATTCAGTTAGTCAATAAAATCTGTTGTTTCTCCTAATCAAGTGCCTGTTTTGGATAAACTCATATGAAGCTTCTGTATCGACGTCAGACTAGAGCGATCGCACAACAAAACGACATCTCACTTCTACAGGAGGTCAATCGGGTTTTTTTTTTAAAATAAATCTGCAAAAAATGTCTGGAATTAAGTGCTTATTGCCTGCAACCAACGTGAGATTTCTTTACTACAAGCAAAATATATGACATGGGATAAAGTGATTATTATCATGATTATGAATCTAGGAAATAAAATTTTGTTGTAAATAATGTTTATATCCTTGAATCTACTTTATGTGTTCCTTAATTGAGTCACTAGGTTAGATTACACTAATCCGAATATATTTTTTTCTTATAAACATAGATCAACAACTTTAGGTATAACTAATAGTTTGTGCATAGGCAAGTGAAGAGTGATAGAAAAGAAAGATCAAAACAACAATAATATGAATTCAGTAATTAAATGATATCCGAAAACAAATAAGACAGATTATGTGATAATTATAGAAGTTATTGAGAATTAAAATAAGATTCGAATCACTTGAAAATAGATATAAATGACAGTTATGAGTTGAAAATTGTCTAGAATTAGAAAATGACAAGACGGGTTACATAGTAGTTGAAAAGGATTTGAAGAGTTTGCATAAGTTTGAAGAATTAAGTGAATGAAAACCGATGCATGAAAGGATGATTTCAGTGTACATAAAATAAGAATTAGTTTGTCGAAGACTACATAACAAAATAAGCACAAATAAAATAACAATAATGACTAACATAAATAATAATTTACCAAGTTAGTGATAAGTTGATTACTGTCTCTTTCTAGACACATAAATAATGTTGGAGTGTCTGTATTGCTTCTGCTTCGGCAAACCGGATACATATTGTGATTTTTGCTTGGTAATAATGTTGAAGGATATATATATATATATATATATATATATATATTATCATTATTGATAAACCTTATTATTTTTAAATCTTTCCATCATCAGTGCCAATTATGTCACATTATATCATACTTCAGTGTTACGTATTAATACATATTAATGGTTGCAAATGGCTGATGAGAAACCACGAAATATAATGAATTCATATTATCCTGTCTCAATTATTATTTTGATTTTACTCAAATTCGTAAAGAGAACCAAATGTATGAAACGAGGTAGGAATACTAATTTAGGAATAACGAAATGTATATCGACAGTTCCAAAAGTTGGAACTTGAATAATTACTCTGTTACAACAAAGTATATTTCGTTCATGATTAAACGTAAGATACAAAAGGTTTTTTCTAACCATAACATAGAAACAAATATACATGGACTCAAACTTGATTGATAAGTTGCTTATGATTCTTAGCAGAATAGGTTTGTCGGTAGGACTATATTTTATGGACGACCTTTGAAGGAACATTTAAGTGACCTTGAAACTAGTAGCCAATCAGAAGAGAGTTAGTATAAAGTGCAAACATATTATAAAAAACTTATGAATTACAGCGGATATTCTTCTTTTACATGATTTAAAAACTTGTTAAGGTTAGATAAAGGTTCAGATGTCCTGAAATCATAGTGCATGGACTTAGGGTTAAGGTTAGGGTTTAGGTTCGGGTTGGGGTTATGGTTAGGGTTAGGGTGCACATCTACAAAAGCCGCAGCCAATGTTACTAGTGACTTCATAATCCAATTTGCAACAATTATCACGATTTGCCTTAGTCTGAGTCGTGATCGAGCGAAGAAAGTGCCAGTTCGAGCAGATTTTATCTCCTAACATATAGTACAACGAAATCTAATGTCATCACGGTAGTCTGCACATCGTGCTGCAGTCATTTGATTGCCGCAGTCACAGATACAGGAACTTCTTAATAGTCCCATCTGTTGTAGTCGCTCAAAAATCACCTCTTCTCTAAAATCTGCTGTAAAACGATCGAATGTGAGCGTCTCTTATTGAACTTAGCGCCATGACCTTGAAATTCCTCAAACGCTTCTGACTGGCTCGTCCATAAATTAGAGTCTTACCGGTTTGTAGTGATTCATCACATTTTACCATAATCATTTGATGAACCACTGAAAAGGACTAAGCACATATTCTGTTTTAGAATTGGGCTCACTCACAACCCCTCCAATTATCGTACCCATGACTTTCATGCCTTGCCACTTGCTCCTATCGTTTAGATGAGCAATTCAAAATCAACTAGTTTACATTTCTAACATCAGTTGGTTTGTAATCTTTTCTCATCATCATCAACATGGTCGAATTTTACTGGTTTTCGACTTTGTATTAGAACTTCTAAATCTCTTGAAGGTAGCCATTAATTAGTGCCTTATTATTATTATTATTATGTGGGATTTATGGTATATAACATAATAAAAAATAAATTTTTCAATAGTTGTGATCATGAGTCAATTGAAGCTAGACCACCATGGAAAACTTGGAAGCACTGGATAGCGGTTTCGTCCTAGTGTGTGACTCCTCAGCAGTGCTCATCCACGATCCCGCCCCCCGCGAGATTCTCCACAAAACTTCTTCTGATAATAAGTTTTCATTTTAAAATAAAAGAAAAGCCATTCAATTTTTTTTTCTATTCCGTTCATTTAGTAAATATTATTTTTTTCTTTTGAATTCCTCTATCTTTTGTTCATCAAAAAAAGAGAAAAAAAAAGATGAGGAAAATAATTTTTCTTTTTAAAAATCCTGATAAACTAACTATGAAAAGAATCAGAGTGAATTAATTCTCTAAAATATTTTTCACTTCAATGTTATTTGACTAGAAAGAATACTGGGTCCTTTTTTTCTTTTTAATTTAAAACTCTAATGAATAGAATAAATACAAGTTTCTGTCTGATATGATGTAAGAATAAACATTGTGAAATGCAATAGTAAACCGTGAGCAAAAGTCAATTCAATATGAAACAATCAATCAGTCAATCAATCAGTGATGAATAGAATAAAAAATAAATTAAAAAAAGTGAATAACTTTCCAATTGATCAATAGATTAACAGTGAATAAGTTTTATAATTAAGAAACAATTCAGTAATTTAATTGTTTATTAGTTGTGAAGCCTAAATGAAAACTTGATTTTAGATTAGATTGAAACGTCATAGCGGTTTTGAATGTTTTAGCTCACCTTAGAAAGGTGATTTCAAGCAAAGATTTGGAAAACATATAGCTTAGTAACTTAATTATATTTCTTAGTTAAAGAATTTTTATCCATTAATTTTATGAATTGTATACACATATTGAAATAACACATTGATTAACTGCTAGTTCAATGGATTCATGTCATATTAACCGAACATTTAAAGTAATATATAATTGCACATTTCAATCATTTGTAAATACATGGTGTAATCACTGTTCCATATATAAATAAATCTTACATCTAACAGTGTTATTTTCTTTATTTCATCGAACCATTTCAGTCTTGTTCTATGCAACAAGTAACTGAAAGCAGCATGGATCTTTCAAATAAATCGATGCTTAACAGTTATTTAAATGAAAATAAAACATTATCATTCTCTAGTACAGTACCATTGAAATTTAAACATATATCCGAGGCAAAAAATACTATTATATAACGAGTGATACATTAGCATAGCCTGTAACTCTTTTATCATGCGCTATGTCAAGCTATTTAAACTAATAAGAGACTGATCAATTTCAGTCCTCAAACATCAATGGGAAGATTCAAGTAAAACCATACCAAGTGAATTAAACTTCACCCCATTGCACAAGCAAGTGGCTATCAGGACTCAGTAGCTAAGTGGATAACGCGATGGCGTTTGAAGCGAACGGTACTGAGTTCTAGTCCCAGAGTGAACATTAACTCTGAGATGCAGGTACATCCAGCTGACGCGTCCCAAACAGGACGAAACGCGCGTCTTGGATTCCACTGCTAGCCACTATCCATCTTTGCTTATAATGACTTCATTACAATTTGATCAATAGTATTCAACTAGACAACACACAACATCAGTCACTATTTAGTGATTAGTCAATTACAAATCATTTATTCCATGTATGTCTATTAGGAATTTCTTTTTAATAAATTTTTTTTAAACACACAAAGTATAACATTAATTACATCATTGTTTAATATGTTAACATGTCACTGGTTAAATTGTCCATATTGTTTTCTGTTTCAGAACTGTATATTCCACAGTTAAACAATGTGGATTGATATGTTACTACAATGAACCATTTTGATTATTTTATCCACTCGATTATCCCATATTGTTTGTGTGTTTTTTTTAAAAAAATATTATTATTCGAAAAGAGGAAGAACAAAGATTTAAGCAGAATAACATGAATTCATTTTTATTTCGTCTGGGTCTCGTCAGCTGCTTACAACCTGTGATATTTAAAAAATCATAATTACATAATGGGTTTAAATTGCTTACAGAATATTGTAAATATATACCTAATGTGAAAGAATATTCTACAACATTCATTGTGACAACAGTTGAAAAGTGGGTTAGAAACAATCGATTACATAATGAATAAACATTGATAAGAATTTAGTGAGTAGAGTTCAGTTGAAAGATTATTAATTTGAAAGATAGTTGAAAAAATAAAATAGAGTCAATGATGTAATAAATGCAAAAGAAAAAAGAAAAAAATTTTTTTATAAGGTGCAGTGAAGGAATATTTGTCACCAGGGCAAGGAAAGATTAACCACCGTCTCCTTTTGAATACACAGGACAGGTTTTTGACGCCTGATGGCAATGGCTTCAGCAAACTTCAGAAGACTGGAGTTTGGCTGCTTACTAATCACCCTAAAGGATTGTAAGGTGTCTACCTGATGTCTTGTATCAAGGAGATGTTTGGTGATTGCACTGTTCAGAGTCTTTCTTTCCCTTGTTCTAAGACCTATTATGTAATTATGATTTTTAAATATCACAGGTTGTAAGCAGCTGACGAGAACCTACGAAATAAAATGAATTCATGCTATTCTGCTAGAATCTTTGTTCTTGCTCTTTTCAAAATGATAAAGGGAACTATGTGTATGATATTATTATTCGATTGAATTGTATTGCTTGTAATATTTTATTGTGTTAGAGAGGATATGAGATTAAAAAATCACCTTTTGTTTGTTAATTAATCTGACTAAAAATTAATTCATTTATTGGAATGCTTTTCGATTATCTCTAGTTAAGTTTAATGGTTTAGCACTGAAACATCTTGCTTATATCATTTTGTTAAGAATTCAAATTATCCTAACAGAATGATTTACATTGTTTAATTATTATGTTTTTTGTTCATTGTTTTCAGAAATAGTCAGGCTGTAAATTTCGATTCTCGTGAAATGCATATGGCTGTTCAACAAGAATTACGACTTCGTAATCGTACCATTCATACTGCTGCTTCAGTTTCTGGTGGGTCCATTTCTTCAATTAGTTCGGCTGACGGCTCTATAGAAGCCAATGCCGGGTCCAGTAGTCAAACATCAACTAGTGGCGTGAAATGCAACCATCATCATAGTTCTCCGAATCATGAACATTTGGCTAAACGTCATTGTTCACATCATTGTTATTACAGTTGCGAATAAAATGAAGAAAAAAGAAGATATTTTGTTTTCTCATATCTGCTTGGTCTTTAATGTACACCACTATCGTACAGCGTTATCATCTCTGTTATTAGCACAAGTATCAGTCTTAACATACATATATATAATACTCGTGTACAGGTTTGAACTGTGTACTGAGCAATTAATTGGCTGTTAAAGTTTATCTGTGTGTTGTAGAAATTTCATTTTCAGTATTTTTGTTTTTAATATTTCCTTTTTAAATTATTATTTTGACTCTTGATGACATACTTTAATTCTTATTGCTTTAGAAAATATTCCTTATTCTTCGTCATTTGTAATTCTATTATATTAAGTGTTTATCTATTTTGCCAGTGATGCATATTAAAACGAAAGCAAAGGGAGTAGCGGTGATGGCGGGCTTTAGAGATGGAAGGGAAGGGAGAGACATAAGGAATACAAATCACCGTCTAAATAGAATGTACAATCAACTTGCCTACAATCTAGAGTACGAGAAAAACACTAAGCTTTTTATGCATATATTTTTGGCGGATATTGTTTTTGTTACATATAACTTATACACTTTCCCACCATATGTAAAGAAAAATAAGAGTTATTTATCAGTGACTGTTTGTCTATGTGTTTATCTTTTCTACTTACACTTCGTCTGGCTGCTAACATTACAATAATATACATTTATTCATATGTTGTTTACATTAATGTTATCTTTCTTTATTCGGAATAAATAATGTCTTCTCTCGTTGTATATGTCAATATATAATGTTTTATTGTTTGTGGACAGTTTGTTTTCTTTCTTTCAATGATCGATCTTTTTTTCTTTTTTTTGCAAAACAAATTAGTAGCATCACACAAATATCTCAACTTGTTATATTTTCTGTTCTCGTTACTTAAGTTCTTTTCTTTGTTTGTTTATCTTCTTTAAACTGCTATGATGTGTACACCTATATGCACGCACATGTGGGACATCTCTAGAGATTTGCATTAATCTCATGTTACATTATTTTTTTAGTTTGACTTTTTTTTCACGATACTCTTCTTTCTGTCAGTTATCCTCACTTTGACTATTATTATTATTATTACCAATAATAATAGTAGTAGTAGTAGTGACTGTTGGTGTCCTATTACACTTTTGCTATTTTTAAGTGTAAAATATAATCAACAAATTGTTATTTTTGAAATCATGTAAAAAAGGATTAGTAGTCAAGCCTTGAGTTTTCTTTTCCTTTTTGTTGTCATTACGTTGGCTTTTTCTCCCGTGTTTTACAGTTCCCATTTACCTACTTTGTTCTGTTTTAGTTGTAACTAGTTGTTTCCCTTGTGTATTTATGTATATCTCTTGTTTACTTCTGTTATTTCCTGGAATTTCCATCTTGCTTTCTCTTAGACCATCTATCTTAAACTCCTCTGAAAGGAAGAAATGTTCAAAAAACCTGATAATATCTACGATTGTATGAATATACACCTTATCTATGCTATTAATTTGTTCTCAAATTCATTTGATTGATTGTGATCGTTAACCTATGTATTATCTAACGGTAAGGATAAAATTTCTATACACATGTTAATGCTCACTAACTATTCAGTCTCTATGATGGTTAATTTACCATGATTAAAAGAATACCAGTAGGCTAATAACCATGAAATCAATACTGATTAGTCCCAATGTGAGAATAATTATTTATCAGTGATTGGTCATTCGTAAAAGCCTTTTATTAGTTGAGTCATTTGTATTCTTAATATTAATTTCAAGATGTTACCATATAATTTTTGTTTAAACAGTCAGTCACAACCAACATTCGACACTTACATTATTGTACATCGGTTCAAGTTGCTGAATCACAGCAGCACAGCGAGATGGAATTAAAATGATGGATAGCAAACGAGTCTGAATAGTGGCAATATCAATGATCAATAAACGTGCGGAACTAAACTAACCTATCGATGTCACAACTAAGACGATAGCTCTTCCCAATTTGCTCATATACGACTAGATAATTAGACTGTTTAGGTCGTTTACAAACGATATAACAGATAGCCATGAAGCAAGTCATAAGCATAATAAGGAATTCAACCTTTAGGATCAAAAGCGATATATTAAGTAAAAGTGTAAGTGGGATACTTGACAATAAATGATCTCAAGAGCTCTATGCATGCCAGATCAAGTCCATTAGTGGATAGGTTGATTATATTCAACGAAAAGCAATAATAACTTCATTCATAACACCATGAAAGAAAAACAAAACAGTATAGAATTTACAGTCAATGACATTTGGAATATACATATATACACGGTTGTTCTATTAGTTGGTGTAACCATAAAAGTCTGGAGAACTGATATGATGGAAAGAAAAGTCAATTTTCGATTGATTTGCTCATTATGAGTCTTATTCAACATTACATCCGTTCTAATTCAATGTAATGATTACTCATTGTAGTATTCGTTTTTGTTTCCCCGTATGATATTTTATTCTGTATAATATGCGAGATATTCTTGTATTCCATTGACATGAACTATGCTCAATATGTGATTTATTATAACTCTAAGTATTTTTCATATATGTGATTTCAAAATGGGTGTACAATCAATATATAAATGAGTGTATTTTCTACTAGAGTTGTCGTCGTCGTGTTTTGGGGTTAATAAATCATCACTTATACCAGTCTTTGTGTTCTTTCGCATCGTGGGGATTGCAGAAGTCCTTCGTTCCGGGTATAAGTGATAAGCGTTTCCGACGTAACAATCAGCGACGACCAGATACAAAAAGTAGCATTAAAAGAGTCAAGACAATAAGCATTCAAACGACAAGTTATAACAAGAACAATCCTTCTTCAATTCTTTCTTCATCAAACATCTACAGCTCAAATAATTATTTGGAATAAAGCAATAATTCAGAAATAACAAAAGACGATGACGATACCACATCGTACAAACTGACTAAGGTTGGAAATCTAAATTAATGGATACTTGTGTCAATTGTATTATCCCGGCTATGAGACCATGAAGTCCTAGGTTTTATCTCGTAAGGCGTTGTAGATACGTATTATTGAGAAGTAGTAAACTTGGGTGAAACAATATGATTGTTTCCAAACACTTTGCGGGGTATATATATTTAGTCGGATGAAAATTTCTTTTCACTAGACCCAAACAAACATATCATCCCTCTTCACTTTTATTACCACTGATGTGTATGCTTAACTGCAAATGTTTAGATCTAAATCTTTCTGGGGTAAATGTAGTTCCATTAAATTTTTCGAGCTTGTTTAATGCTAGCTGAGAGCACTTGTCAGTTCACTAGGAACAATTACTGACTTTTTAAATTACATTTTGATTTGATGGTAACATCATATAATCAATGCTCAGGTGTAACAGATTATCCTCAGCCATTACTACAGATGATAACTAAATTAAATATATTACATCAACATTGGTCATTCTGATCACTTTGTTTGCTGCAAAACTGGCTGTCAAATGTAGGATAGTCATGTTAGATTAGTAATTACAAATCCATCATGACTTATTCGATTTTTGCTTACAAACTATTCAATCTAGAATCTTCACTTTTTCGTAAATCCAGTTTAATTAAGAAGATAAGGTGATCTATCTAACATAAATAAACATTCAATGGTGGACTATAAAAAGTTATCTCTATCAGATGTTTTTTTGTTCAAAAAGGAAAGAAGACTATTTAGGGTGGTGAAAGTAAAATATAATTGGTCACTGGGCGTGGACAAACAGCCATTTAACCTACTGACTATTAAAAATAGGATTTTCCTCTCATTTATTTCTACTCCGGACTCACTGAGAGCGATTGCTTGTAATTGTGTTGAGTAACGTGTTATCTAGTCTACACTCGTGTCCTCTATTCTGGGTCGTAAATCCTTGGTTTGATATAAAGTGACAAGTCTCACTATTGTACTATCGTAGTATAACAAAGAGAAAAATATTTTAAACCACCCATCATATCAGATAGACACCCAGTGTTATTTATGACAATTAAGAACATCAAATGATATTAGATTACAAACTTTGTGATCATCAAAGTATATGTTCAAGTTGTATTCAGGTAATCATGTCCAGACATCCAGGTAACTATGATCCATGATGTGAACTAACTGACTGCTAAATGATGTCAAATCTCAGCCTCGACAATTAATTCACTAACCAATAGTTTATAGCTAACCATTTTATTTCAGTTTAGTGAGTTTTTCACCATTCATATTATTCTTTCATTTGAAAGATTTCACTCGTGAAAGGGATATATCCTTATGCCTACTAATAACTGATTCTAAATTAAAGTGACTTCTGTTATTAAAACCTTGCGTTTTAATAAGTTAAAATTGTTTATAACACTTGAAAATTGTTATACACCTAGAGTTGTAGATGAAACAGAGTCATTGTAAATAAGAAGTAACTAAATAAGAAAGAGCAACAAATATACGTAGATTAAAAGAACAATAAAATTGGCAGATCACATGACGGGACTACAAGGGAATAGTCACGAGAAAATACAATCTTACCAACAGAATCATATATGTGTAGCGTGGGGTCGTGTCGAGATTGGCTATGAACACCACTACAAAGGAACGCGTGCCAGGATATCCATAAAAACCCCCGGAAGCCAAATACCAGAAGGCAGTTAACAGACCAAGTCGAGATATATTTGCTGACGATCTCGTGGTATCGAAAGAATACCGAGATCGTGCCAGGATACAATCTTGGTTACTGAGCGTAAGCGGATTCGCGCGAAGTCACAATCGAAATAAGTATAATGGATGTTTTTAGCACAGTTAAACAAAGAGCACATTAAAACAAGCACTGGTACAATTGGTTATAATAATAATTGTTTTCATTAAACCAATCGTGTTCTCGTGATAAAAGTGAGTCACTACATATGCATTATAGAAACAAAATAGATACATATGTGGCGACCACTCCTACATGGCTGAGTTATGCAGTTTCGATCATGTTCAAGAGTTGACCCTTATTATTCATCAAATATTCTACGTCGTCTAACACAGTAACGGTTCAGCTTAATAAATGATTTGTAGTGATGTTTCTTTGTTGCAGCGTTTTCACTACAATCGCTTTCTGTAATTAGAAATAGGATCGGCTAAAAAAATTCAGAAATTAAATATGGAACCGTATTTTTGTGCCTATTCTTTCAATAGTACTAGGTCCCTTTGGAGCTTTTATGAATCCCCCTTACAACTGATGACTCTCCACAGTCCGATTCGGTCCTCATAAATAAAGAGTGATGAGCTTATGTTCTCTGGGAGGTCGTTGGTGGGTATGATAAATACCATAGGTCCAAGTAAATCCCTCTATTATACCCAGAAACGAACACTCCAGTTCGATCACTACTAATATCATCAGGTGTGATCTGTGTGCCCCTCTAAAAACCGAGGAGAGGATTGCTGTTTCCACACTTTTGGAATCAATGTCGAACCTATAGAGTATCGAAAGAGGTTATGTAGTGGACGGGAATGGACTTTTCTTCGCGTTTTGAGCATGTGTCATTTAAACCGGGCCACTTTGTTGATTTAAGCTTAACTAGCTTTCCTGACACAATCTCAATGCTGCTGATGGTGGAGTATCAGTTGAAATTTGTTGACTTGGCGCCTGATCTAGCTGTTTGTCAAAGTTAGGGCTGAAGAGTATGACGGTTTTGGGTTTGTTTTTTACCTTTTCGACATGAACACATAAAACTTTCATCAACATACCAGTCATTCACCACAGATGACTCATTAGGTCATGAAACTTGTCCATAAAGATGAATTTTAACAGTTCAGATCCGCTTACTGTACCGTACGATTGAAAATATACCCAAAGCGTTAATGTGTAAAACACGCCTGTCAACTAAGAAACCGGACTGGATATATATGAAACAACATAAGAAATGCAAGATTCAAACCGCAAGCCCCAGGTTCGCCCTATTGTAGCGGTCAGCGTTATTGTTCATGAGAAGCGTTATCGAAATTCATACAATATTCCTGTGATCGTAAAAGTATCTGGTAAGGACTCGGATGAACGAAGCACTCAATAATCTACGGTACTGAACAACGGAAATTGGTTGATGAATAGTATAATCTATGTTTACACAGTCAGCAGATATAAACCAAACACTCCCAATAAAACTATGTTACGTATATAGCGTCACAGAGACTATGAAAGACACTATCTTATCACAATTGAAGAAGTCGATGATTCTCCTCTTTTCTAGGTATTAGAAATTTCGGGGTTGACCTTGGCAATCATTTTGTCACAACGTCGTGGACGGTTAGTGTTTTCATTGGTTTGTTGTTTGCTAATGTTTATGTTTACAGTGTGACTTAATTGTATGAATTTAGTATATGGTTGACGGTTGTCACAATTTCACGTCTGTTGGTTGGGAAGCGAAAATGAGAGTTCAACCATTTATTTGTTATTGCATTCAACATTACACCGAAAAAAGCGCCACACAAGTCACTTGATTTG